TGTGTGCATGTGTTGCAATAACTTAAACAAAATCGTTGTTGTTCTCCGTGCAACAGTATGTGATTTGTAAGATGTCAATTTATTTTTGCAACTACAACAACAGCAACAACAACGAATTTCAAATATTTGCACATACAAACGCATAAAGCTGCAATATGAGCGCTTACTTTAATATGCATTTACCCAAACCCAACAACGGAAATGTGCTTCCTGCGCCGCAGCTAGCTCAACCGCTCACTCAGCAGCCCCCCACACCCCACCACCGCTCACACCGCTCACACCGCCATTGGCGCTTTCATCACAAAACTGATATTTGAATTTGTCGCTAAAAGCGCCCATCGTCAAGTGTCGTGTTGCAAGTGCAAGTGCATAGTTGGTAGCGCTGCGCATTTGTTGCTGCAACGAAGGCGCCCAAACACACACACACGCATACATTTATGTGTATGTAGAGCACTTTTTGAAATTTTGAAACGTTGACTCTTGTTGGCTTTTTCCAATTTCGTTGCATTGCTCACACACACACATTTGCATGCTTATGCTTGCAGCTTTTGTTGTTATTTGCATTGCTTACTTGCCCCTGGCATTGCTGATGTTGCAAGTTGATACTTTGTTTGACAATTTGCTCTGTGCTCGTGTACTCTTAAAATTTCGCTGTGAGCTCAATACTCCGCCACACTAAGTACATACATAGTGCTCGTGTATTTGCTAGCAAAAATGAAGAAAAGCGAACAACACCAACAAAAAGGGCGGACATTTTGTGTGCGCATTCAATTGCAAATAAAGCGGGAGATTGTAAATAAATAGAAAATTGGCAATCGCGTTGCCTTGGTTACGCGCAAGCACACACACACACGCGCACACTTGCTCACCTACTTGTATTTGATGCACGCAGCTGACAGTTTGAAGCGCCGCAGTTTCGAAGATCTCATTTCGCCTTTTACAGCTGTCGTCCGGGCGATTGCCAAATGTTATATTGATGCCACAGTTCTTAACTCGATTGCAGGGAGAACTCAAAAATTTATTGAAATAATATTGCCTCGCGAAAGAATTCGTTCTCTATGCGCTTTGGTTTTGAAGAGCCATTTGGATGAGAAATTTGTTTACGTGGACTCAAATTAGGTAAGCTCTAGCAAATTGCTTGACAACTTCGAAATTGGTGGCATTATATTAAAATTTAATTTTTGTTTACTCCACTAGCAATTTTGAAATCAAAGAATTGTTTGCGGAACAAAAATTTACTCCACTTAGCATTATAATAAGAATATTGTGCATATGAATGCCGTTGTTACGTGAGGTGTTAATTCGGGATCTGTAAAAAGTCATTTCGTTTTTTCCTCGAATATAAAAAGCTCACAAAATACTCAAAAAAGTTTGCGAGGGATGATCGGTAAGTACCGACGAAGGCCGCTCAAAACGCTCTCTTTTATGAAAGTGAAAAGCCCTCAAAAAGCGCTTTCCTGCCCTCTTTTTCTGTCATACTGTCTCTCCCTTTCTCTCTAGCATATGAGATGCCTTATATTGTCTAGTAACAGCAAATAAATAATGGATTAACGCGTATAACTTAAGTCTCTCAAAAGCCACCAAACATCGCTCTACTTCATTCTCTCTTTCTTTGTATCTCTATGATATGAAAGGCCATATATAGGTTGCTAAAATATGAATGAAGTCTCTAAAAAACTAATTTATGGTAGAATAAGCCAAAGAAAATCGCTCACTCTCTCTCTCTCTCTCTATCTAACATATGGGAGAAGATATGTAGGCTGGTATCTGTAAATGAGTAATGAATCGATATAATCCGACTTAAGACTGTGCCAAACCAAGAAAAATTGCTCTCTCTCTCTCTATGGCACGGGAGACTATATAGAGGCTGGTACTTGGGGGTAAATAATGAATGAACCGGTAAGATATGACTAAAGCTTCTCAAGAATGGTCTATTTTGTGATAAAAAAAAAGGTCACGAAAAAATCGTTTTTTATATCTCTCTCTCTCTTTCTCACTCTCTCTCTCCCTCTCTTACATATCAGAGACTTCTCATTTATGTCGAAACTAATTAAAACTGGGATCACATTAGAAAGGGATGGTTTAAGTATTTTACGACACTCAATTCTCCGTTACTAAAGGGGGTTTTGACCAAAAAATTGACTACTTAAAAACCCCACTAGACTGGAATCCTGAAGAAAACCGCAGACGCACGAGACCAGCGTACACATAGAGGAGAGAAATCAAATTACTACCTTGAAAAAAATCAGATTTTACATTTTTTATTGAGGCTTCATGTTCCACTTAGGCTCACAGGAAATTGTAAATCTAATATCTAGGAGCCAGTCAACTATATGAAGGTAGGCGAATGGACATCCGTGAGAGACATGATAGCTTTAGCGGACTGAGATCAGCATTGGCCATTCCGTCGCTCTAAACTGGATCAGAAGCTACTAACAGTTCGACAAAGTGCTTTGAGCCAAAGCTGAGACACTTCGATTGAAACTGTCTTCGTAATGTCAACAGAAATTTTCAAGTTCAATTCCTAAGTCACTAAGAAGGGAAAACAAAAATTTAAAGTCGCTAAAATTAAATTTGCCTTACTAAAGTTGATAAGCTCACGAGAAAGTCACGATTGAAGGCAGCATTGTTTTGCTGAACTTCCATCAATCTGCGCTTGGCCCAGCAACTCAACAACGGCATTTTCAGCTTAATCGCAGCACTCGAAACGGACTTGGCACACGCTGTGGCGCACTCCCCGCCGCATCAGAAGTATAAATCATAAAACAATCCATCATATTCAAATAAATGAAAGCAAACCATTCAGTGGCAGATGTGAAGCAGGCGCTGTGTGGCAAAAAACTGCAGCATATCTATGCGCGCACTACAAAAGAGTGGAGAGAAAGGAAATTGTATGCAAAGCAATAAAAAATGCGCACCGAAATAAAATGTAAATTGCCAGCGATACAACAGCAACGGAATGGACAGCGGCAAAGACGGCATGCCGCTTATCAAGCGCGCGCGCATTACTTTCACGCACACACAAACACACACATATATATATAAGTGGGGCACGTATGCCAGAAAGACTACCACTACTAAATACAGCGATGTATTTATGTGCCCGCACGCTGCCAACAAACTGGCCGGTCAACAGCCACCCCATACAGCTGGGCACTTAGCCAGTCAGCGCTGCATGGGCCGAAATTGGGACAGCGCATTTCGCTTTCGTTGGCAGTTTGTTGGCCTTTCTTTCAAATACTTTGTGTATGGGCTGGCGCGCACTTCAATTTTTAAGCAATTTTCTTTTTTACTTCGAAGTGCAAAAAAGTAATAATTTTTTCGCACAAAACTGCAGAAAAAGTTGCAGCACCGCACAAAAAACACCGATTTCGTCGTTAGATGAAAGCGTTTTCATTTTCTGCTTTGCCTATCTCCAGGCGCCAGCGCATATGCTACAGCGGCTTGCCATTTCTCGTCGCTCTTTCGCGTGTATGCGCCGTTATTTCTATCATTTTCAAATTGTTTGAACGATTTCTGCGTACCCGGGTTTTTTGGCGCTCTCCGCACATTTCTGGTGCAAACGCCGCGCAAATGCAAAATGGTCGACTTTTTTTGTAGGATTGTTGTTTCGTTTTCTGTTTTTTTTTTTTTTTTTTAAATTGAAATTTCCATAAAACGTGCACATTTGTTACATTGCAGTGCTTCGTTTGCTTTTTGTTTGACAAACATTTGCTGCTTTTTGCCGCGCCTCCGGTCTCACCCTCTTTCCGTATTCCACGGTTGCGCGTTGCATTTTCACTTTTGCTATTTGCGCTTTGATTGTGTTAACCTCGTTTCGGCGTTTGCCGCTTTGCATGTTTACTTTTTCGCATATTACTTCATTTCCCCCCAACAGCGTTAGCGTTCTCGAATCAAGGCCGCGCTGGCGCTTGCAGAGTGAAATGAATAAATGAGCATTAGCGCTCTTGGTCAACGGTTCGCCTTGTACTCAGGCTGCGCGTCGCTTGACGTCTGCAAGTGCAGGAATTTACGGCGCGCACAAATGTAGGCAACATATGCACTAATACTTGAAATGGCATAAATCGGTTTCAATGTGTCTTAAGGCATTTATTGTGGATATGAGTTGAAGTTTAGGAATATTCAATTTTACTGTGTTAAGTGAAGCAATTACTATTTTATTTAATTTTAGGTATCCCTGTAAAAAATTCTTCTAACTTAACCCCTTAACACTTTTTTCACATATCGTTATTAGACCATTTTCAGGACGACGACGCTGAAAACGCCTGCGTTTCAAGAAAATGAAAGCGCATTTTCACTAACCCTTGCGCCTTCCAAGAAATCAGTGAAAAATAATGGCAAAAGTTCCATTAATTAAACTTCGTATAGCTTCCGCATCCACCGTATTCTTTAGATCTGAAACGCTGCGACTATTTTCTGTTCTCAAATCTAAAAAGCATGTTCGCTGAGAAAAAATTGTCATCGAAAGAAGAGGAGAACACCAAAACTGGTCACCAAGACGGTCTATTTTGCTACAAAGGACAAATCGTACTGCAAAAATTATACCGAAAATTTGAAGGGTCGCTAAAAGCAGTGTATCACCCTTGAAGTGAACTGTGTTGGACAAAAAAATATGAATTTTGCCAAACAAACATGGTTTGATATGGTAGGATGGGCTTTTCAAATGAGCTGCTAGAAGAATATCGAGCATTTTTCCTAACAACAAGTATTAACTTTACACGTTTTACTAGGAATTGAAGAAAAATACATGTGTTGTCTAGAGACGCGGTTCTCCATGAAAAATCTCAATGTAAGACCTAGACCTATATGAGACCTATGTAGCTAGGATCGTCTTGGATTTAAAAATACTCAAAAAGTCACGCAGAGACCAAAATCAGTGTAAGGCACAATACACATGAAGCGTGTTAGCTGTGTTATGCCAAAATATTATAGATAAATTAAATCTCGATCGTTTTTACTTAAAGTATTGAGGCTTTCTTTTAATTCTTACTTACCTTAAAAATGCAATATTACATTACTTCTTGTGAGTTTTGTCCGAAATTCAAAAATTAAAATTTGTTGGGTTCAGATGAGTGATTTATGAGATTTATGAGAGACACGCCTAAGGTGTATTGACATGTGAAGCTTTGTAGATGATCATGACTCCTATATTTAGAATGCAAACTCTGAAAAGAAGTAATGTGAATAGTTAACTTAATCACCAACTCATAGATATAATGAGATAAATAAATATGAATGTATTTCATAATTTTTAAAGACTTTTTTCACAGAGCTTTCTTAGCGCTTTAAATTTTTTTAAGCAAACCAGAAGCTTTCACTGAACTTTCGTTGACTCACTGAGCTTTGAGAATTTTTTGAGAAAATCGGAAGCTTTCACTTAGCTTTCATGAAGCGTTAACAAATTTCTAAGGAAAGCTGAAGCTTTCACAGAGCTTCCATGGAGCTTTATGAAATTTTTAAGAAAACCAGGACAAATTCATAAAACTTTTATGAAGCTTTAAGATAACCAGGACACATTCATAAAACTTTCATGAAGCTTTAAGATATTTTCGATTAAACCAAAAGCTCCCACTGAACGGTTATAGAGCTTTAAGAAATTTGTAAGGCAATCGCAAGCTTTCACTGAGCTTTCCTTAAAGTCTACCCTTTAACTGATTGACATAAATTTAAGTCTCTCCTTGCGGTACTTATACTTCCTACAAAAGCATAATAAAGAAAATGCTGGTCTTCGCCATATCCGATCGCCACGACGCACTCAGCTCAACTTCATATGTATATTTTTGTGTATGTGTGTCACGAGTTTAAAAGCATGCATTTCACTTTTAATTGCGCAGATTCTTATGCAATTGAGTGCATAGCCATTACACTTGGTTTGGCTATTAAACAACAAAAAACACTGAAAGCACCTACAACAACTGTGTAATAATGGCTGGACAGTGAAATTCCGGTGCGCTTGACACCGCAACAGCCGCACACTGGCATGTGTTTATAAGTGTGTACGAGTATGTATGCCACCGGATGGAGCAGCAAGCACAAAGTAGCAGCTATCAGCACTACGCCAAACATGCATACACTTTTGTACCAATAAACACATACACACAGTACAGGCAGGCACAATTCCTGTGGGCATTATGCATTTGAGTGTGTATGTGTGCGTGAGTAGGAGTGTGAACATGTGCGGTGATTGCGGTTGAAGGGCTGGTCGAAAGCGAGATTATATGGTCACCCGGGGTGGCGGTTGTATACACAGACTGAATATTTGCAATGTAGTTTCTGTGTGGATACGAGGGTAGCTTGAAAAAAATGTCTGTTTTAGACAAAACAAAAAATATTATAGTGAAGACTTAGATACTTCACTGAGAGGATTAGCTCAACCAATCGATCACCGCTTCTTTCTCTCTCGCACTCCCCTTGCTTTTGCGCTCCATATCACTCTTTCCCTCTCTCTATTTATTGCAGTTTCAAGGAGACATAGATGTAGAGGAAAAACGAACGAACATCTATTGACGGCCAGCTCAGGCTGGTATCATACGTAAGGCTTCAAAAAATAGTATCCTGAATTTTAGAGGACTTCGCTAAAATCTTTAACCCAACAAATCGATTTCCCTTTATTTCGCCCTAATCCTCTCTCTCTCTTTCTCTCTTCCCCTTTCTCTCTCACTCTATCTTTTTACCTCTCTAGCTCTCCATTTCTCTCTTTCTCTATATCTCTTCCTCTCTCTAGTGATTATATTTTGAAAGAGACTAGACGAAAGGAGAAAGTTCGCTCAGCTATTGACGGCCAGCTCAAACGCGTATTACCAAAATTTTTCTCGAATGAAACTTAAACCCAGAACTCGAATTAGAAAAATCTAACAGTCCTTTTAGATATACACATATATTTTGAAGCATACATATGTAATACTTTGACACAATCGCACAGCTTTAAGTTACGTATGTATATATGTAAGGAAGTAATGAATGTGCGTTGCAAGCCCCAAATTATGCTACAACGACGAAAAACTCAAGGCATGTCCATATATACAACACAATACATATATACAGAGCAAAAATGCACGACACATAAATATATGTGTGCCACATAAATTTGTATTCATATCACCCATAGCGCTACAAATTTATACACCAATATATTACTTCCATAACACAACCGCCCGCCACCTGCCCATGCACCAATCGTGCCCCTGGCATTTACCTAGCTTTTTCATTATATTTTATCTCAAGTAAAGCCGCAACCGAGTTTTATATAACCCCTATACCGGCGCCAAGGTGTATAACCACTATGGCATATACAGTTATACCGACACATCTTACATGCCACCGTGCGCTCATATCCCTTATCCCTTTGCGCTGACATGGACGTGCGGACAACACGTCGCTTTCATATAGCTTCCGCAAAAGTGCGTGCGTAACCCCGTAGCCTTTAGTTTGTGGCAGTGTGCAGTTTCCGATGCGTGTGTGTGTGCGTCAGAGTGGGTGTGGAGATTTTCATTCTCTGGCGAGTAGAAAGTCATTAAAGTTCCTGATGAGGACACGTAGGTAACCCATATTTGCGCGTGTGCGTTTATTGCGAAAATGTCGAAAGCAGTTGCAGCGAGCAGAGTTGGCGAACAACAAACAAAAAAAAACCGTAAAAATGAAATAAAGTAGAAAATCATCGTGCAGTAGAGATTTTTAAAATCCGATTATTAAAGCTGACGGTGTTTGAAATGTGGAAACAAATTTACTTCCGCACACTAAAGGTGGTTAGATATGTGTATGTGTGTGTATAAATCTGAGAGAAACATATCACAGTAATGTATAGGTCACTACGGCGCTGAGTGAAAGTAAATCTGTAAAAGAAGGAAGCTTTGCAAGAAAGATTTTCCTTCGTGGTTGCAATTAATGCATATTTTAATTCGCTTTCGCTTTCAAAGGCGACTATGTCAATTGGTTCTGTTTTGTCATATGACATCACACTTTTCTGGAAAGAGCCTTATCTGAAAGATGCAAGTTTAGACAGATAGAGCATAGATAGGACTCTATAAATTCCAGACCCTTTCAGAACTGTGAACAAACAGTCTTCTTGTGGAGGTTTTCCTCACAGAAGTGGAGCTATCAAGTTGACGGCAGACGTGCAGCCTATTTGCGCGCAGTGACCATTCATTTTGAGAACACAGTGGCGGCCATGGTGGTGGTGAGCACGCTAACTGTGCTCTCAAAGCTGTTCAAGGAATGTCTGACTTCAGCGTCGTCAAGCTTCTTCATCATCAGACTCGTTTGGATGCCTGATCACAGGGGAATCGTTGGCGACTGCAAAACCAATGAGCTAGACAAAGGTGGTATCATATCTGAATCGAACCGAGTTAGATCATCAATCGCATTTTGCACTGAACAATGCGTGAACTTGCACTAGTACAAAGGATCTCGGGCGAATTTGGCAGATGCTAGTCGACGGCCAGCTTCTGTGCGTTGCGAGACTTTTTTAGCCAAGAGTAGAACGCAAGATATCTACTGAACTAAAAGACATAGCCGCAACTGTCGATTTGTGGGCGCTTTAGTTTTTGAGATATCAACCTGAAATTTTGCTCATATTCTTACATTCAAAGCAAGTAGCTCAATTGCAGGAACTGTCGATATCAGACAAGTATAGCATATGGCTGTCATACAAACCGACCGATCAAACTTAAGTCCGCGTAAGGAAAACTTTTTTATTTGAAAAGTTATCTTTTCCAAATTAGACATAAGTCATTTTCTGCGTCAATTATATAATAGCAGAAGAAATTGTTCAGATCTGATCACTGTAGCATATAGCTGCCCTATAAAGTGGACCATCGCAATCAACTACTTGTATGGAAAACTTCTTCATGTAAAGAGATATCTACACGAAATTTGGCATGGATAATTTTCTGAAGCAACGATGCAATATCTGAAGAAGTAGTTTGGATCGGATCACTATAACACATTGCTGCCATACAAACTGAACGATTTTTATAAGCACCTTTTTGTATTTGTGAAGGTTTTAATAAAATAGTTCAGCGCTTGAAATATGATTTTCCTCATATTCTTGTGTGTTTTCGACACAAATACTTTTAGGCGAAAATATTTTACATTAATTTCGTTCCAGGCAGAAATATATGAAGCAATCTAAATTACTATCAGTCAAGAGTTACAAATTTTTTTTTGATCACAAAAAGTTATTGGAACCACTCTTCACAGTCATTGCATTGTCATATGCAGTTATGTCGGTGAATATAAAAATAAAATATATATATATATATATTATATCCATATCCATATCCAATTTCAATACTACAAACCATCAAGGGCCACGTTAAATCAAATATGACAACAAACAGAAAAAATTTAATTGATATTTGCCATTAAAATGACCAAAGTCATAACCTTGTAACCCAATTTCAGCCAATCAACCAATACCAATACATATTTGTGTATAAAAACTCAAAAATATCCACAAACGAAAGATAAGCAAATTTGATTTGTTTGCATTGCGCGGCAATTTCCAGAACAGAAAATTCAAAAAAAAAATTTTTTTTTTTGGTTTTGTTTTTGGTTGCCGCTGCAAGAGGGCACGGCTATAAATTGGCGTAGTAAATTTTCATAACGCTTTCAATCATTACGGCGAACGTAATGCCAAAAGCAAACACACACACATATGTGCATATGAACGAATGACGCTTGCATATGCTTGTGCTATGTGCATGTATATGTGTAAGTCTGTTTTTGTATGTGTAGGTCTGTTCTCATACATCTTTGCACGTGTTTGTTTGTTGTGCGCTTTCAGTACAACAGCTTAAACCTATAACTAGCCGTCCGTTGCACACTTTTCATGCCACAACTGCGCCCACAGCCACTCAGCCACACAATCTCTCACCCTTGCCACGCAGCCTCACTGCAGCCAACCGCTGGCAGCACATAAACCACAAAATCAAATTGCGGCGCCCGCTTCACTTTCATTTGCCAATAAATTTCGCTTTTGTTATGCCAATATTTGTTTTTGTTACCGTTATTACCTCCGTTTTTTTTTTTTTTTTTTTTTTTTTTTTTTTTTTTTTTTTCTTTTTTTTTTTTTTTTTTTTTTTTTTTTTTTTGTTGGCCAAATCAAAAATCGGTCGATCGGTCGATTGTTGAGCGTAAAAGGCGCCGAGGAAATGTTCGTATTTGG